AAATAAGCTTCTGTAGTAACAGTCCTACTTCAGCCAAGACACTCTCCAGTGCTTTGTGGCACCTCTCATTTGTTACAATACAACAAACATACCTACTAAAACCACTGGTTCAGTGGCTGTGTGCACACCCTCCCAATTCAAACATTTTCTCTTGATTACAGTTCTTGTAGTAAGTGATAGCTAGTGAAGTGGATGGCATTGAGTTTTTACAAGGTAGCCAAAGCAAAAGGGATCTCTAATGGTTCATTGTAAGGGCCAGATTCTTGCCTTGGTGCATACACAAGGTCTGTCACTGAAGTGTACAGGAATCATTCACACACGTCGGCGGATAGAATTTGACTTTAAAGCCTGAGCTTACATTCCTTGCAAAACCAAATTCCCATTTATTTAATGGCAGCTTTAGCTGTATACACAGTTTTGAGGTTTAATTCGCATTAGACCTGATTTTGATTTTCTGCCTGTGTTTAAACTGGGGTAACTACTGGCATCGGGTCAGATTCTAGCCCATTGTTTCTTTGATGTAACTTTTTATGCTATTTTAAAAAATTAATAAACTTGGCATTTGTTTCAGCTACTGCATCTACCTTCAACAAAGCTTTCCAGTTAAAACTAATTAGTTTTTAACAAATTTCATAACTATAAAACTGGTTAAAAAGAAATCCAGGTCAATTTTTGTAACAAACTAAAAGGCTACATAATAATTAAAAAAATAAGGCTTTAACTCAATGAAAAAACTCAAATTAAAGCAACTTACAGCTTTAAAAAAGATCAAAAGAAAATTACTTCTCTAAATGGGTTTATAATGCCAATCTGTGCAAGCAAAATGGACATTTTTGGAGTTATTCTGGTCTTCCAGATAAATAGTGTCCACAACTAATCTTTTTAAAGAAGCCCTTTTACCTAACAGTAATAATGATACTGGTTTTCTGTTCAATTATAATTTTAGACCTAAAACATGTGGACATTTAAACACAGGAGGAGTTCTGTTAAACTCAATGAGTGAAATTCTGGCCTCAGTGAAATCAACAGAAGTTTTGTTATTGACTTTAATGGGGCTGGGATTTCACCTAATGATGTTAATCATATGCATAAACTTCCTCAGAATTGGGACCTTACATAATTCTCTGAATGTACAACAAATCAAGTATGTGCATAATCCAGGATGGCTTCTCTCTGTTTTACTGTGCAACTATGTAAATTTCATTTACTTAACACTGCAAGGGGATGACAATTTCTTGCACTCAGATTAACAGTTGTCCAGAATTTTGTTAACTTTAACAAAATGGATCTCTGGCTCAGATCCGATTTGCCAAATCCATTTGTACAGTGAAGTTAAGACCCCATAAAATATGTGATTATAAAACTATGAACACAACTTTTATCATAGGCAACATATTACTATTTTAAAAAAATATATTTCTATTTGAAAACCTTGGCTACAGCACCCCCAGGAGAGGAATCCAGAGCAGGGGCTGATGAAAATAACAACAGAACAAAATTCTGCTCAGTGTAGGAGTGTGGCTCCTTTTACTTCAATAGGAGCAGCATGAGAAGATCAAAAGCAGAATTCGGTTCACAAAATTCCACTCATGTAATTTTTAGCATTTTCTTTTTAATACAAACACAGCCAGCAGAGTTCTCAGTGGAGTATGTGTAAACTGAGACAATGCTAGTTAAGTGAAGGGAAACCACCTCTCTTCACAAAGCAGTAACAGTTGACAGAGCTATGGATGTCAGTCCTGCAGAATTATCCCTGTGCCTCTATTCACATCTGACCTGAGTCAGCAGTCTTCCAATTTCACAAACTACTGTACTTGTTATAGTAGCACATGGAAATTGTTACACATAGGAGAGTCACTATATCGAGAGTGGGTCACCTGTGTGCTCACTTGCATGCTTACGAGAAAAAACAGTCTTCCAGCACACAGGTATCTGACAGGCGTCTTAGCCACCACCAAATATAGCCCAGGCATTCCGGTGACTGCAGGAAAGCTGCCCCCCCACACTTTGCGGCCATATGCCATTTGCCCAGCAAAGCCAGAATACTTACTGGAATAGCACAGTCAAATGACCATCAAATTGTTTTGGAAGAAAGCTGCCATAGTTGAGCAGAAGCTACATTTATGAAGTTCAATAGCTGTTATTTTAACAGGGCAAAGGGATTCCCATTGCTAAACGCAATTAGACTAGATTACAGACAATCCATTTGCTAAACAGTCTACTCTCAAAATTTCAATTTTTTAAAAATAGTTAAGTCATACATAGCCAAACTGGGCTCTGCTACATCAGGGTAATCCCCAGGGCAGTTTCTGCTTCCCTTATTCACACTGAATAGTAACTGATGCAAGGGGTCAGATACTGTGGCCTTATCCAGCAAAGCATTTATACACAAGCTTTACTTTAAGCATGTGAGCAATGCCATTGTCTAACAGATTTCACCTTCAAATCATGAGGACAACTGCTGTGTTTAAGTTATTTGCAAGATCGAGCCCTACCTCTAAAAGTAGTTCTACCAACATCAATGGGGCTAATGGTAGAGTTGAATTCTATTGAAAGTGATTAAGGGAAGCAGAATTAGCCCCATAACTTTGGAAATCTTTTAAAACAGCCAAATGATGAGCTCTAAAATTTGAGGTGGAAAGTCATACCCAAATAACAGATATTATGTAATGGCTTTGTATGATGTCTTTTCAACTGCTATACGCACGAGTTTGACACGCACCTCACATGTTAAAGTGTACTTGCCAGCAAAACAATTGTTTTCAAACACATCAACAGACCAATTTTATTGCAGTGGGGGGGGGGGGGAGAACCCATAGATGTCAAGACAGCATCAGTTTGAGTTCTCTCCCCTCCCCATTAACCACTGTTTTTTAACAGCCAATTGTAATGTGAATTTTTTATGAGAGAGCTTAGTAGCCCACATATATTGCTATAAACATGTTCTAGCATAGACAGCACAGTAAATATACTGAGCAGAAATCTGCAGTTTTTGGCATAAACCAAGTTCTTCATGCTGTTTTTCATCTTCTGTATCATAACTAGCACCACTTTCTATTAACCATCAAAACTATAACTGTCATGATAAACTAATTTTATCCAGACTGCAGTAGCTGAAGACTTATAAAGGATTCACATTCTTGCCAGATCCCCTTCCATGACCATACAGATTTTACACTTCCATTCCTCAACATCCTGGAATTAAACAGATTATTTGCTAGAATACCAAAGCCAGTGAAAATGTAATCTATAGACAAATGTGAAACATCAAGAGTGGGCATTTTTTTTAAAAAAGGAGTATCATCTCACCCTTTATCCCATTTTGTGTACACATTAATTTCACACCTTTGGAAAGCACCTCTTCCATGGCAAGCAAAATATTGATGATTCGCATTGGCTTTTTATCACAGTGATCCATTAGGAAAGCAGTCATGTGCTGAACAAGGTTTTTCATCCAGATGTGCTTGTTGAATCTTCAAAGAATTTTTCTAGGGTTCTGACTCCTGTTTAAAAGAGGGAGGGGGAGGACAAAAATCAACTAACTGTGTAGTTCTTTATTCTTCTTTGGGTCTGGGGATACTTATTACAGCTTGAACTCATATTTGTTCATACAAGTATAACTGGATGAACAAATATACCTTCCAAATATCAAATTAGAGGACTGTGCATTTGCAATTACAACTGAAATTTTCCACACCAAATACAGTACCTGAGCATTCCCATGCAATATCTAAGGGACAGCAACAACTGGAAGATCATACTTCTGTCTGAAATCGTTACCCACTTTTATTATAAGTAACACCCAAGATCACTGTATAACTGCAAGAACCTAGCAACACCATAACATTAATGTTCATTTATTTTGTATGCTTGCCAGCCTGTCTGGTCATTTTAAAAGTTTAGTCGACGGCCAGCTGCATTCTTGCCTCACATTTTAAAACTAGATCATTCACATACTGTTCTGGAGGAATTCACATGCACACTCTTCTCCAGGCCTGCAACAGGTTGCTTTCCAATAACACAGCAACAAGCAGCTGCTGTTTCTGATTTGGGGGCCAGAAGGGAATCTTTTTCCTGGGACCCTGGCTTGAAGGTAGGGAGCAAGGAAAACCAAAGAGGTGGCTGCCAGAGGAATCTCCTTCTGCACGTCCTCACCCCCTGGACAGTGCACAGTATTCAGGAATAACAAGTCTCTAGAAGAAAGGAATCCTCCTTTATGGAGATTTATTTATTCATAGAAAGCCATGGGCCAGGATTTGGCCCTGACATAGCACTTGTGGCAAGAGGAGAATAAATTCAAAGGATCCGAGGGGGAAAGAAACTTGCCCAGCTGTTTGGCCCATTGCACAAAGGATCTCATACAGTGAGACAATGAGATAGTCCAGGATCACAACAGGTAAAGCAGTACTATATCAGGAATTATATTGTCTATTCAATAGAGAAGCTAACTGCAACTGACTGGTGCCATGCGTCCTATTCACTTCCTGCTACATACATACTTCCTCCAAGTTTTAACTGTCCCATAAGGAATTGCTATAATCAAGTGGTTTCACCAACATCCTGAATCAGTTAAGTGATTTTTTTAAACACCTACTGACCAAATGTTGACCAATGTTAGCTATTTTCCCAGACTAATATTTCCAAAGCAAGACAAAGATGTTTTTGCATCCTTAGCTGCACTTACGTCATTGATTAAGGGCTAAGTTCTGCTGATACACCAGTGTAAATCCAGAACAGCCCCTCTGAAATCTGACTCCCTCTAATGGAGTCACTTTGGATTTACACTGGTGTAACAACAGCAGAATTTTGCCTTTAATGTGCAATTGGCAGAAGATAATTATAGCTTCTATTAGATATCAGAAATTAAAACAGGTAAGATTTTGTTTGGTCTAAAATGCTTTTCTGTTTATTGTTCCAATTTCACATAGCTCACTAGTAGAATATTGGCAAGGAGAGAGAGAGAGAGAGAGAGAGAGAGAGAGAGGACCTTCAGCATGGACATGCTGACCTCTCAACTTCTCTCAAAGCAAATTCAAGCTGAAGATCGCAGGAGGAGTCATAAAGGTCTGTAAATGCAATATTCACCTTTGATGCCAACCTAGGTTTCAGCCCTAGAAAGGAGAAGACCGTGTTGTTTTCCTTTGCTTCAAAAAAGCAATCATAATCCTAGAGAAAAGAGAGGAGAAAAGATTATTTAACATTTCAAAAGGTGTTTTTCCACATTATATTTTTATATTCTATGCTATCAAAGCTCTGGTTGATCTGTAGCTATGCTTGGGAAAACAGTCAAATACTTGCTCATGTTCTGCTGTATAACCTGACAATTATTCTAAATGTAATTAGAATTCCAGACCCAGTGGAAGAGTTCAATTTCTCATTTAGGTTCTCTGTAGTTTTCCATTTCCTTCAGATATCAACTAAAGCCTCCAGCATCTGAATGGCCAAATGAATGATCCATCCAGTGCAGTATCCTGCCTCTGACAGTGGACAATATCAGATGTTTCAGAGGGAATAAACAGAAAGGGGCAATTTTGAGTGATCTATTCCTGTAGTCCAGTCCCAATTTCTGGCATTTGGGGGTTTAGGGACACCTGGAGCATAGGGTTGCGTCCCTGACTATCTTGGCTAATAGCCATTGATGAAAGGATCGAATTATTTTTTGAACCCAGATTCAATTATGATTTATTATTATGATTTATGCTTTTGGACTTCAAACATCCCCTGGCAACGAGGTCCACAGGCTGACTCTGTGTTGTGTGAAGAAGTACTTCCTTATGTTTGTTCGTTTTTTAAAATCAGTATTAATTTGCATATACAAGAAATGTCTGAAAGGTTCTTGGGGCCAGCTTTTTAAAGATATATAAGCACCTAAAGATGCTGATAGGTTCCTAGTGGGATTTTCAATCTGCATCTTGAGGCACCTAAATACCTTTTAAAAATTGGCCCTTGCTGAATTTCATATTTATCAGCTCAACTCCTTGAACAATCCTTTTCTCATGGAACAGATACCTAAACACTCTACCCTTTGAAACCAGCAATCATTAGCCAGTAATTTAGACAGTATGAAATTACTGTATCCTTTTAGAAAAATAAGTGATAACATATTTTCAGATTTGGCCAATAAACAAGTTTCTACTATAGCACAGATCTATTCCGTAGGTCATTATCGTTTTCCCTGACTATGTACGAATTGATACTACAGGGGAACCATTCATGAACTGTCTTGTGGCGCCTTTGATCTTGTTTAGGCAATAGAACAAAGACAGATCTGAAGAACAGCAAGTAGGGTTGCCAACAGTCCCTTATTACAAGGGATGTCCCTTATTTTTTCATTTCTGTACAAGATCTGGAGTTGCTGAGTGCTGCAAAAAGCAGCAAGAAATACCCCTGGCAAACGTGGGTGAGTACTAATTATTATTAATAATAATAATGATAACATCAGGAGCAGGAGTGGAGCAGGGTTGCTAAGGAAACAGTCCCTTATTTTTGAAATACAATGTTGGCAACCCTAGCAATAAGTAAAGAGCCAGGGGATTTAAAGCAGACTTACAAAGAAAACTGTGCTGATTTAAAATGGTTCTGCAGATTTATGAAAATTGAAGTTATGGGTGTGTGATAAATCAACACGTGGTGTATAACTAACTCTTTAACCTATTAAGTTAAATTAATTTTTTAGTAGGTCAAAGGCCGAGCACTCCTCGAGCTTCTGATGAATGTACAGCTCTCCACTCTTGTCTATCCACCACATAGCTCTTGACCTCACCTTAAAATCTGTGGGTGGTCTAGTTAACAGATTTGGCACAAGACTGGGAGTCAGGAAGTTCTGTGGCTCTGTTCCAGAGCTGCAGTGTGACCGAGGGCAATCAACTTAATATCTTGTACAGCTTCCATCCCTCCCACCTAAATCTAGAAAATGGGAATACCAATGTTTATCTAACTACTTATGAGTTGGACACAAGGCTGGTAGAATACCTAATGTCTATACATCATATTTCAAAAATAAAGCACAATGCATGTGCCAAGCAGAATTTACTATTCTCATATTTCTTAGCTACCAGTTACTCCAAAAATCAAAAGTATAAACACAGTAGGATTTGGGATAAATCCCTTTATGATACTGAATGATCACAAATACACACTGCATTGTTTACTTAGCTCAGCTTTGAAGGAGTCTCCAAAAACTTCTCAGCCCAGATAAAAAAAATCTACTAGCCCACCTCTAACACCAAATCCTAACATGCACAGCATCCATGTCTCCATACACCCACGTCTCAGCCACTCAACATACTCATCTTCAGTTCTCTCACTTGAGCACCATATTCATCACTTCTCTTCCACCACCCGAGGGGTGGATGTGGCCCAGAGGCAGACCCTCTATTACATGGGTGCATCAAGTCTGTTCCGACATTGGACTCTTGGCCCATCAAGCCCTTGTGGCTGCACAGAAACGGACAAATGGCAAATGATCGCTACAGCCGACCAATCGGCTAATTGCTGAAGAAGACTCCTTCAGAACCCTTCTGACAGCATTCCACTGACTTTTTATAATCCTGTATTTACGAGCATCCAGTTAACCCCTTCCTTGCTTCACCATAGTAGCTGTTAATGTATCTTCCCCAGTTTCCTCCAACACCCCCAAAACAAATAAAGCCAACAAAGGTCAAACAAAACACTTAAGTATTTTCACAGCAAGGCCAACAAAACAAATCTGGAGTTTTTAGGTCATTGTCTGGGGATACTGGCCCTGATGCAGCAAAATACTCAAGAACATGCTTAGATTTAAACACATTGGTAGTCCAATTTATTTCAAAAAGCCTTCTCAGGTGCTTAGAGTTAAGCATGTGCTTGAATGCTTTGCTGGATTGCAACCATTATGAGCCAAACTATGTGTCACATTTCTCTTCACCTCAATTTTCAAGACACCCCAACTTTAAAATTCCATTTCTGTTTTTTACAAGACTTCCCATACAGATTGCCTGGGATGAGGGCATGCAAAATTCATTTTTTTCCAAGGAATTTAGATGGGGGGAGGTGTTAAAATCAGGTCCATAACAACTAGCTTCATCCTGAATTACAGATCAGCTAAGGCCACTGCATAACTTGTTTCTATTTTTTTTTCTACCAAATTTGTAGGCATCTAGGAGTCTGCTGTCTTCAGAGGGCGGCTATCATTTCGTGAGATAGATTTGGGGAAGCATTTTAGAGGAAAATGTAATTTGTTATCTCATGAAGACTTTACTTCTGTCATTTCTTGTTTCTCTTTCCCTTCAACTAAAATAAAAATGTATTCTGACTGAACATATATAGCTACTGTTATATATATATATAAGAGAGAGAGAGAGAGAGAGAGAGAGAGAGAGAGCGCGCATAACACCACTGAAGTTAATGGTCATTGTACAGCTATGTGAAAGTGCACAATTTTATCCAGATGCTCTCTGGTACAAGAGACTCGAACACATGACTGGTGTAGGCGGAAAGCTTTGGGCTGTGGTAAAGAATGTTTTCTGCAATGCTGTAGGCCGAGGTAATTCAATATTCTATAACTAAATTTTATGTCTAGTGACACTTTCCTTTTATTCAGGATCCATGTAAGCATGCTTCTTTATTTCTACTCATCTCTCAATTCAATGTTTTTCTTTATTTGTGATGCAAATTTCTAATAAATTATTTCATTTAAGTTTGGCTAATGGGAAGTTATCTAGGACAGTTGTTTGCTTTCACCCTCAGGAGGAGTTAAAGTACTAAGTTTGATTACTCTGTAAGGTTAATCTCCATACTAATTTTACAGAGATGATTTTTACCTTTTTCTTTAATTAAAAGCCTTCTTTTTAAGAACCTGATTGATTTTTCCTTGTTTTTAGATCCAAGGGGGTTGGATCTGTATTCACCAGGAGTTGGTGAAAGGAAGGAGGGGGAAAGGTTAATTTCTCCTTGTTTTAGATCCAAGGGGGTTGGATTTGTATTCACCAGGAGTTGGTGAAAGAAAGGAGGGGGAAAGGTTAATTTCTCCTTGTTTTAGATCCAAGGGGGTTGGATTTGTATTCA